ATTCGGAACATTTACAGAAGGGTGAAATAAAACATTTTCATTTTCAAGATAAATGTAAGTCTAGTTTATTTTCTCCTGTCAACCTGCCTGCTGAACTGTGTGAAGCAAAATCAAACTGAAACAATGTAGACATCTACTTTACATGCTGATGCTGTTACTGAGTGATCAGCAGTGAAAAATCACAAACGTTTGGCATGTTTAAAAAGAATTCCAGGTATTTATACCTAAACCTGCTTGGACCAATGTACCTGTTGAAATACCATACTTGGCCAATGCCCCTGGAAGCTGGAAATTACTGAAGTAGGTACCACTACTCCAGTGATCTCCACTTGATCTGAGATCTGTGCTGAGTGGCTGGCCTGATGCACTGTGAGCAAAGGAAGTTGTCCACTCGCACGGGTGCCATTCACGTCCCCTGCCCCTCCACCTATTTCAATCAGAGAACATTTTGCATTTATTCAGAAGATTCAAAGCATTCCCTGAATGCCGCCTGTGCTGAGCAACTGACCTCCTGTGTTCAGAATGCAGCAGGGCAGCCACTCAACACGGGACCCAAAAGCAAGTGGAGATCACTGAAGTAGTGGTGCCTACTAAAGTGATTTCCAGCTTCTACAGGGATCCCACAGGTATTGTATAGTTACATTGGGCCAAGCTGGTTCTGGTTTCAGGTGCTGTCATACCTGCCTTAGTTCCTGGCTTTGTTGTAGCCACCTGGGCTGGTTGTATATTCAATAATATAAAATAAAAATCTAGCAGGGATGGTGGAAATCCTTTATAATGTGCAAAACCAGAACTCAAGTTCAGAACTCTAATTGGCTTCCCAACTAAAAAAACCTTTAGATGGGATTAACAGTCCAGCTACCTGACATACCTACATAAAAGTGAGAATAAAGAACCAGCAAACACAAATGCTCCTTGCGCTTGGGGATGGACTCGATGCTACAACCACATTAAGAATGTCCTGGAACATGCACACCTTGCTGCCCTCAAATGGACCGGGGAAATCCAAATATACTGAATGGGGAAAGAACAAAAAGAGGGCGCACAGGCCTAGTGCATTACCATAAAAAATTTTTAAAAAAAATAAAGTAGGTGTTGTACTCACAAACGACAATATAGTCAAGGCACATCATAAAAGAACAGCTGGATCAACACCGCGCTGAGTAACAGTCCGCAATAGGGAGTTTAGACATCCAAAAGCCTGACGCGTTTCGAGGACTTGCCTCTTCCTCAGGGCTCTGAGGAAGAGGGCTCGAAACGCGTCAGCCTTTTGGATGTCTAAACTCCCTCTTTGCACGGTGTTATAGCTGTTCTTTTATGATGTGCCGACTATATTGTCGTTTGTGAGTACAACACCTACTTTATTTTTTATTAAACATTTTTTATGGTAATGCACTAGGCCTGTGCGCCCTCTTTTTGTTCTTTCCCCATAAAAGTGAGAATGTATTTGCCCCCTTCCTGATTTTTTTTTTTTGCATTTTTGTCACACTTAAATGAATCAGATCATCAAACAAATTTTAATATTACACAAAATTCACCTGAGTAAATACAAAATACAGTTTTTAAATTATGATTTAATTTATTAAGGGAAACTTAACCTAACTGCCCTCCTTTGCTATATTGTGAACAAACTTAGATAACCACATTTTTTTGGAAAGCGGAGCTAAATTTTACTTGCCACACACAGGCCTGATTACTGCCAGACCTGTTGAATCAAGAAATCATTTAAATAGAGTAGCTGTCTGACAAAGTGAGGCACGCTAAAAGATCTAAAAAAGCAACACATCATGCTGTCATCTAAAGAAATTCAAGAACAGATGAGAAACATACTAATTGACATGTATCAGTCTGAAAAAGGGTTACAAAGCAATAACTAAGGCTTTTGGACTCAAGCAATCAAGCTAGTTTGCAGCTTCGGGACCTTCACGCCTTGCCATACTTGAAGGAACTATGAATTCTGCACTCTACCAGAAAATCCAGAAGGAGAAAGTCCGGCCTTCAATTTGGGCCCCAAGCTGAAGCATACCTGGGCTATGAAGCAAGACAATGATCCAAAACACACCAGCAAGACCTATGAATGGCTCAAAAAACAAAATTAAAGTTTTGGAGTGGCCTAGTCAAAGCCTAGACTTAAATCTGAATGAGATGCTGTGGCATGACCTTAACCACCTCCCGACCGGCCGTTGCATATAAACGGCTGGACGGTGGCAGTACAGGGTCGGGTGGCCGTTTATGAACGGCCTCGCCGCACCCTGCTTGTGTGCGCTCCCTGGGAGCACGCAGCACCGCACGATCCGGTGCCCGCTGTGTGAAACACCGATCGTCGGACGGGACCTCTGTACCAATTGGCCAATCAGTGATCACACGCAAAGTAGTAAGCAAGATGTCACTTGTGACATCATTGCTTACTACGTGTGAAATCTGTGAATGATCACAGAGGTCACATGGTACAAGGCTATTCACAACAGCCTTGTACCATGTGACAAGCTCTGACCAATCACAGCTCACTCAGTACTTCTCAATGAGTGCAGGAATGCACACAGAGATAAAGAGAAATGATTGCTTTTACATCCTATATGGGTGTAAAAGCAATCAGTGTAAAAAAAAAAAAAAAAATCTTCATCACCCCAAGTAGTACAGTGTCACCATGGTGACACTGTACTGCTAGGGTGACAGTATGTAAAAAAATAAATAAATAAAAAATAATAATATAAAAAAATAAAATAAAAATGTAAAAAAAATGTTTAAAAATTATAATTTTTGGTTATAAACTAATTTTTTTTTTTTTTTTTTTACTAAAAAGATAACGGAATACATTTTGGCAAAGATTTATGATGACATATTATTTATTTGCAAAATTTAAAAAAAAAAACACTTTTTGTTCAAAATTTTTGGATTTTTTCATTTACATACCAAAAAAAATAAAAATCCCAGCGGTGAATAAATACCACCAAAATAAAGCTTTATCTGTCTCAAAACAATGGTAAAAAATTAATTTGGGTACAGTGTTGCATGACCACGCAATTATCATTCAAAGTGTGATAGCGCTGAAAGCTGAAAATTGCCCTGGTCAGGAGGGGGTAAAAGTGTCCGGTCTGGAAGTGGTTAAACAGGCTGTTCATGCTCAAAAAAACCTTCTAATATGGCTGAATTAAAACAATTCTGCAAAGAAGAGTGACCAAAATTCCTCCACAGTGATGTGAAAGGTTCATTGTCAGTTATCGCAAAGCTTTATTGCAGTTGTTGTCGCCGAGGGTGGTACAACCAGTTATTAGGGTCAGACAGCTTTTTTCCTTAATAAATTATATCTTCATTTAAAAACTGCATTTTGTATTTACTTAGGTTATCTTTGTGTAATATTAAAAAATTTTTGGTGATCTGAATCATCTAATTGTGCCAAAAATGCAAAAAAATCAGGAAGGGGGCAAATACATTTTCCCAGAACTGTATAAAATATGAGATTGTACTTTGCTGTCTGCATATCTTCTTTAAATGTGTGATAGAAAATGTATTAAAACCAGACAAACATCCTTGACCCTTTTTACCAAAGGTACATTTCTTGCCCCTGTCCTCCAACCTGATCCATGCTTCAACCCTTGAAAATATCATTATGACCATACCCTGTGGCTAGTGCTTGCCCTCTTACTAGGCCTACCACCCCATGTGATAGCACTTAAGCTTTAAAGAGGGCAGAAGGAAGGTGCATGTGTGATCCATTCCCAGATTATCAGCAGGGCTGTAGTTTGAAACAGGAGGCAGGCTGGAGCAGAGAAAGGGAAGCGACATATCATAATGTCACTTTTATTAAAAGCCAAGCATTCACGTTTATGTACTGAGCACATATAATCAGGACTTGGTCTCATCTCTGGAGACAGCAATCTTATAGAAATATATGACTCACACATAAACTGGGCCAGGGGCTTCCACAAATATCCACAGGAAAGTGACCATTTCCCAAACCCATCATTTTGGGTTGAATACAGATCATTTCAGTAGTGCCAGATTAAATTCTGTGGAGGCCCCTAGGCAGTCTAAACCTTGCACCCTCCTCGCAGGTTTCTGGAGGTTTCTTGTGCGTGTGTTCTAAAGGGATAACATTGAAGTATGTAGGGTGCACATCGGCCGCTAGATGGAGAGATGACCGTCACTACTGTACGTTACGTGTACATAGGTTGCAACAACATTTTCTTACTGTCAGCTGAAAGAAGATGAGCTTTTAATAGACAAGCTGTAATGTGAAACCAATGTCCATGGTTTATGTACTTTAAGTTTTTATTAGGTACATTTTATTAATGCAGTATTTGCTCTAGGTCTTTAATGTAAAGTTTGCATTTCTTTGAGTTGATTCACTTTTTCTATCTTTTATAAATGGTTTAAGAAAGCTTCATTGTAATTTTCTTTGGAGATCAAATCAATATTATTTTGATCTGTTGTGGCGGGGCCCATAGATCGTGCCGGACTACCAAATAGGCACTGGAGTGCTTGTGACTAGGAACCCATGCAGAGATCACAAGCACTTCCAGTCCTTACATGGGACTGTTATCACACATGGTTAACCCTTTGAGGACCGTAAGATTTTGGAACGCCAAAAGAATCAATTTTTTTGTTTTTAAAGTTCGTACACTTCAGTTTCTGTAACTAAGCCATTTCATGAAATAATTGGCAAAAAGCTAGATCCATTTGTTGTTTGTTGATAAGAACTAATATTTTGACTCAAAACAAAAAAAAAAAAAAAAAAGTTTTAAGTTCCTAATCAGATAATACACGCCATTAAAAACATGGGACAAATACGTCCCTTGGTCCTCTTAATGTCTTCTACATTGGAGTCTTGAACAACCGATCACTCACTTTTCTATACAGAAAAGGGAACTAAGCCATTACAATATGCACGCCATTCCGCCATTCACTGGCCCATTCAGGAAGAAAACCCTGAAGATGAGCAGACATCTTTCTGCCCACTTGCCTGGGCGACACATCCAGCCATCTACAGTCATCCTTACCCATCATATCCAGAACACTTTGGTGGTTGGAGATAATGACACATGGGCCGTCAACCTGAAAGTTTTCCAATCCTTTCACCTCGAAACGCACCCCAAAAAAATATTTCAGAGTGCGCACAAAGACCCGGATAATCCTGAGGAAGGAACAGATAAAAAAAGAGGTTTAAAATTGACCTTTTGCAAAAACAAATTCACATAAATCAAAAGAACCCAATCATTGACTGCTCAGAACATTTAACGTCATTCAAAATGAGAGAATCTGTTATTGTCAAATCAGACCGGCCCTGTCTGGAAGCACTGTGACTAGATGAGAGGATAAGTAAGGCAGGCCATACATGAAGTCATTTTCTTTCAGGAAAGAAAACTGTTATGATTCTCCCATCAACACAATCAGTGTTGATGGGGGAATCCCTCCCGCAGAACTATTGTGTCCTACCAGTGGGGAGTCTTCCCTGTTGGCAGAACACAATGATCACTGCTTTTGGGTATAGCTACCAGCAGCAATCACATGAAAAAGTCTGACAGGCTGTTTGTGCTTAAGTCGATTGATGGATCGACTTTAGTACAACCAGCCTGCCAATAGATGGATTGAATTCTAGCCAGTGCCTGCTGAACCTGCCAAGATTCGGTCCAGCTATGGACGGCTTAAGACAGACATTATGCAAATATCACTCTATATGTTTTTAAAAACAAACAGGTTATATACACTGAAATGATCCTATAATGGCTTTTGGTCAACTTTAGTTGAATGATTTGAAACAAACATTTTTATGACTACCTCCATTCATGACTACCTCCATCCAATAAATATGAGCTAGCGGAAGGCCACCTCTGGCTCATTCAGCTGTTTGTGTGTTGTGGATCAGACTGAAGTATCCGCAATATCAGCAATCAGATCCACGTTTCCAAAACCGTTTTGAATTTGAATGATGGGTGTGATGAACAGCACAGCTAACAGGGTTCCCAGATTAAGGCTACATGCAAACAGGCGTTTGGACTCCTATGCCTTGAATCCTGGCATTTTCAGGTATGTGGGAGGCAAAGGTGCAGCGTCCAGGCTTGCTGCCAGCAGCCTATTAAAATCTATGACAGGCTGAAGTGTGTGGCAGCTGGACACTGTACAGAGCAGTACTTGTGTTTAAGGCAGGCATGCATTAACATGATTGTAAACCCTTCCATATGCCCAGTGAAGCGATTAGCCTCAGATGATACAGAGATGAAACAAATCCTCCTACATAAGGTGCACTTGTCTATCTGCAGCCTTCTCTACATCCATTCAAAGTGCTGAATTTATAAAGCTTGTCTGAGAGTTCAGAAAAAAGGGGCGGAGAGCTGAAATTATACACTACAGCACTCAGTGAGATAGCCCTGAGAGCTGATTGGAGGGAAGGGACACACCCTCCTACACACAGCTCACAGGAACAGAGCTGAGGCTTTCAGTCTACTGGAGGCCCCTCCCTGTCACCATTTTTCTCTTGGTGTCTGGAAAACTTGTCAGAAGTAGACAGCAGAGAAACGAAGCAGCAGACAAAAACGGCACTTGGTTCTCTGGATTAAAAAAAATACAAACTATACAGGGGATATGGTTTGTTTATATTTCATGCCTAAGGTCTACAACAACTTTAACCACTTGCCAACCGCAGATAGCCAAATGACGGCTTCACTGTGGCCGGCCAGGTCTGTGTGGGCGTCATATGACATCCACCCAGAACGTGCCCTCCCGCGCGCCCCCAGCGATCTCCGTGATTGCTGTGTCCTATGGACACAACTGATCACTTGATGTGGTAAAAGGCCAATTACAGTGGCTTTTTACCACGTGATCAGCCGTGTCCAATGACACAGCAGATCACCGGTAAATGCAGTTGCCGGTTATCGGCTGCACTTTCCTCACATTGTCACAGCGTGAGGAAAGTACTGCCGATAACCGTCAATTGTCAGAGGAGGGATCGGCACCAATCATAAGTGCACTGATGATCAGTGCCCTGATGATCGGTGCCCAGCAGTGCCACCCACCAGTCCCGCCAATCTGTGCCCAGCAGTGCCATCCAGCAGTGCCGCCTATCAGTGTCCATCATTGTTGCATATCAGTGCCGCCTATCAGTGCCCATCATTGTTGCATATCAGTGCCAGCTCATCAGTACCACCTCATCAGTGCTGCCTATCAGTGTAGCCTCATCAACGCACATCAGTGAAGGAGAACAATTACCTGTTTGCAAAATTTTATAATGGAAACAAAGAAAACATTTTTATTTCAAAAATTTTGCTCTTTTTTTGTTTATACACAAAAAATAAAAACACTCAGTGGCAAGTACATACCACCAAAAGAAAGCTCTATTTGTGTGAAAAAAAGATAAAAATTTCATATGGGTGCAGTGTTGCATGACCGCGCAATTGTCACTCAAAGTACGACAGCGCTGAAAGCTGAAAATTGGACTGGGCACAAAAGGGGTATAAATGCCTAGTAGGCAAGGGATGTATGCCAAAAAGAATGCCGAAATTCCTTAATTCTGGGCATACTTCCTGAAACACGTACAGCCCTAAACACTGAATATCATTCAGTACAGGATCCAGCCATGTCCAGTGGCTGCATATTTTAGCTTGTCATAGATATTTGTTTTAAATAATTAGAATTTTTATATAAGCCCAACGATGTTAAAGTATATATTTTTGAGAATTTTAGTTTGCCCACTTACATGACGCCATGAGCAATATATTTCCCCCAGTATGTGGGTGGTGTTAGTAAGCAGGAGGGATCGCTGATTCCGACCTATAATATTCCTCATTCAATTAACTGAACGCACTATATATGTGTGACGCCGCACCGCATAACCACTCCCTATGATTAAGTCAGGAAGTGACGAAACGCGTCAGTGTTGGTGACCGGAAGTGACGATCATCGGAACTGGAAGTGATGCAGGATTGTCTGAGAGCAAGGACTGGCAGTGGTGAGAGCATTGTGCGGTCTTTCCTCTCTGATTAACCGAGACACTTACATCTTTGGGCTTTAATTTCATACTTCTTGTAAGTAGTATTCTCAGGTAGAGAATAAAAGGTTTTAAGTAGTGCTGCAACATGTCGGGTCTCTATTTTTTATCTTCTATGTGATATTTGTTGGGAGCATCGGAAAAAGCCATTACTATATACCTTGGAGATTCTGATTCACCATTGGAGGAATCCACTCTGTGTCTTGAAAGGGTTCTATTCCTTGGAGAATTTTATATCCAAAAGCTCAGTATGCCAACCATGAGAATGGAAGGCAATTATGATTGGTGAGTGCATACCTGAGAGGGCAGCACGGCGCAACTTCATTTTGTTTCACTATTATTCACGTGGTGATTATTGAAAAATCGAATATGAATATGATTATGAATTAATTTCACGTGGTGATCACAAAAATGGACTGAATCATTTGGATTTTTTATGTGTTTATATATATTTTGAAAACCATTTGTTTGAGTATAAGCGTCGCGTTAATATTTTATTTTTTATAGAATATTATTTTATAGATTTTGTCAGTCTGCTGGCAGTGGGGCAGGATACTGTACCTGAGCCTTCTAGGCACCAAAAGGCTGGCATTTGATGCTCATGGGCCAAAACATCCCTGTGCATGAGGCCTAACACCAAAACAATGGGGTAGACTGGAGCATTACAGCAATGCTTGGATGTAAACTAGAGGCAGCATACATGTACATGTGCCCTGTTCACATCTCAACACTTCATTTTATTTCCTTTGCTGTTAAACCCGCCTCCGGAACTTACATTCTATTCTTATGTGAAGACCACAAAGTCGTGTTTTGAAATGATTCATGATACTCAATATGGTCCGAAAAGAGGGAAACCTCAAGCCTGTTAGCGATTTGCAAAATCATCAGACACTAAAAAATGAAATGTAGCAGCTCAGTTCCTAGAATGGGACATTACAACACACATTCCCTCATTGTGCAAGGTCACAAGATCTGGTTACATGTACAGCTATGAAGATTTTTATTACACTGCACAAGATCAAAAAATCAACTTTTGTTGTTGCACAATAAACTGAGAAGTAGGCCTCGGGTAAGTCAGGTGGCATGGTGTCAGATAAACCACCGGGCAGCGAGCTCTGTGGAAGTAATGAGAAAACAGAGCCAATGTGCCAGCCTGTACGGAGCAGATGACAGCAGCATCAGGGTGAGCCAGGTGGTAAGCGGATAATCCTGGCTATTCATCTGCCGGGCGGCTGGTAATTTAACATTTTCCACCACTAGTAGGACTGCGAGTGATGGCTCCAGTGAGAAGAAGAGATCTGTACTCTACAATTCATTCACATTTAAAAGGACAACTATACCTATAACAAAACAAATTCCCACCACCCTTCTTCCTGTTCCAAGTAACCCCTGAAATATCAGCCCGCTTGGGCATAAAGAACAACTGGAACGCCGCCGGTTGTAGAACACAGACCATCCCTGGATAGGCCATGGCAGTGAGAACAAGAGGAGGATGAATCTTTAGCGTGCTTCTGAAAATTTTACAAACATCTTTTGTCAAAGAAAGGCCTGGCAAAGTCTGACATGAGGTTTTAATGCCAAAATATTTAATAAGGCTATGTTCACACTAGCTTTATCAGCAGGTGTCAGACAGGCGTTTGGGAAGTGTTTTAACGCTTCTCAAATGCCTATGAAAATTCTGCTGTTCACACTGAAGCGTTAGCGTTGCGTCGTGGCAAAACTGGTGCCTCATGTTGAGTCAGGAGGAGTTGAAGCCTCCCATTCAAGTCTATGGTGCCGCTCCTCGAACGCCTGGCAGGCGTTTGCGGTGCGGTTGCGAGACGTTTGCGGAGCGTTAATACCATTTAACTTCATTAAAGGCGTTTGTGGTGCAGTTTTAACGCTTGGTAAACGCCTATCAAACAGCTCAAAACCACGCATAGGGCATTTGGGGAGCATAAAAAAAAGCTTTCCAAACACCTGTCTAAACGCCTGGCAAACGCTATAGGGGTGTTTGGCAAGAGTTAGAAATAAAGTCAAGTGGGAACGAGCCCTTAGGAGTATTCTTGTGATTATTTTTTTCCCCAGTCCCCAGAGATACTGTTAGCCCTGCCCAGATCACATGCATTTTTAGGACAGCCCCATCCCTAATTATATATGATCCCACTTGCGCGGT